ATGGGCGCAATATGTTAAATAAAAATAATGCTGATGGCACTCTCCCTCTGGGGAGCATGCCCACACCTTTCCCTTCCCCCTCTTCTTCCCCTCAAGTGCATTAGTTACCTTTGCCTTTCTCTCTCCTAAGCTCCAAGGGCCCTTCTTTTGCTTTTGTAACTTGTTTCCTGAACTTACACAGCCCAGCTGGCTCACTTCTACTACCTCTGTATCTTTCTAAAGAAAATTTCTCCTATAATTTGAGTTCCTGGCTCTGAAATCTTTCTTTGCCAAACTCAAGAATCAAGGTCCAGTTTCATCACCAACACTGCTGGTAACACAACCATCAGAATGATCCTTAAAAATTTTTCAAAAAAAAAAATGCTGAGAACTTATCTACGGGCATCAAATGGAAAAAAGGAAACATTTTGTTAACAAGAATCACATAGTTTCTCCACCCCACACAAATATTCAATTTTTATAGAGGGAAAAAAACACATTAGGATAAACAAACAAAACAAACAGATAAAAATCATATCCACCCATATTTATTTCAACTTGGCAGCATCACCTATGGTTGTGTACAGGCTTCCCAACGATAAATGATGGAAGAAAGCAACAATAAAAATCAACAACTACACTAGGGAAACATCATTATTGAGTATATTCTCACAGAGTGTTAAATATCATCAGGTCCTTGCTTAGGCTTGGGGTCTGGACAATGAACAGGACATGAGAGGAAAAGTCTATGCTTTCTAAAATGTTCAGTGACAGTTATCTGAGACATCATTATTCAAGTCAGCCTTTCCTTGGAGGATTAACAAGTACAACTTATCGATAGAAAATACCACGTGAAGCTGTTTAACCAAACTGTTTCACCTGCGAAGGTTATCTGCCTCTCTGTGCCGTAAGTATAAGGATAAATTAAATCCTACTAGAAACATCTGCAGGCCTGTAACCCATGTCCAAACTTCCCAAAACAAAGGACCTTCCTCCTGAACTCAAAAGTGTACTGGTCCAGGCTCACGTTCCAGTCAGTTATGAGCTCCTCCCCAAACCAGGGCACATATTGGCAAGGGAAAATGAGCATTCCAACAATGGTCTAAAAAAATCAATGAGTGCCAGAGTGGTACATCGGAGTTTGCTGTTTGAAAAATGATAAATCATTTTATAATGTGAACTACTTCATAATTTATTTGCTAAGATTAAAAATTCAGGCACTGGCTCTTCTTAAATAGGGAGAATGATATATACCTATTACTGGACATTTATTTAGTACTATTTAGCAATCATAAAAAAACCTACCACCGAGCTCTCCAGGGCACATTCATGCCCTTCCATTCCCCCTTATCCCTCCTCAGGGCGTTACTTTTGCCCTCTCTCCCCTAAATTCCAAGGGCCCTTCTTCTGCTCCTGTAACTTGCTTCCTGAGCCTACGCAACTTGGCTGGCTCACTTCTGCTATCTCTGTAACTTTCTAAATAAACTTTGGGGGGGGGGAGCTACCATTTCTTGAGACTGTTATATTCTAAGCCCCTCACAGATGCTCTTTTTATATTACCTACTTTAATCCTCTTAATGACCCTACCGGGAGGATTTAACCTGGAGCTATTTCGAGCAGACCTTTTCCTTTGTGCAGTAATTCTCAAACTGTACTCTGGGTGCTGTAGAAAACTCATAGGGGAAACTTAGGATAGTTAAACATTTCAAGGGAAACATACATAGTGTACTTAACATGCTGGACACGCTTAACCTACAAACCGGAGGTACTTCACAGTCTCTACATTAAATCACATTACATTATATCAATGGCATCCTATCTTTGCAAAGATTGGGTTTGCAGTGGTTACTGCTATAAAAAAAGCAAGCGCTGCAGAAAAATTAATGTGGAACAGGAAATGAGAGTGGTGGCGTCCAATCTGATCCTAAGATTTGATAAATAGTACAGACACACACATCCTGTTGGTAATTGTGGTTATTTAAGAATGACATAATTTTTTTTTCTTTCAGTTATGTGTATTATTTTTTTCTAACACCTTCTATGATGTTTGGCCACAAGTACTTATTATGTTGTTTGAATATAACTACTACTTAAACTAGGGCAGTATGAAAATATTACTAAAATACTAGGGCACCATGAACCAAATTTAGGAATCTTTGGTTTAACAAATAAGTGACAGAGTTATGCAGCAGTCACCAAGGAGAGCTGTGTGACCCTGAGGAAATACTTAAAGCAAAGTCCATAACCACAAACATCATAATCAGGAAAAAAAGAATCTGGATTAAAACCTTTTTTAAAGGTCACTCTCAAGCGAATGAATCCCTCAAATCCCATACAGTGTTCCCTGGATAATTCGTATTTGAAACAAAAATTCTAAAACACATGCACACAAATTACTGTTTTTTCCAATTCTTGGGGACTCAAGCAAAGCTTTTAAAATTATAGCCTCCAAGCTATGTTGGAAGAGACTGGGCCTCCCCTACACAGACAGAACACACCCTTCTGCATACAGGAAAGGGGGAGGGAGGCTTAAGGGAGAGACTGCCCCATCCCAGCACTTTGATACTTTCAGCTTTTTTGTGGTTTGCATCCTACTCTCAATAACTTGCTTTTAAGTTCTGTAAGACTGCTCCAGGTGACTCTATAAATGCTTGTTTGGAAACTTTTCTCCCCCAGAACTTTTCATGTGTCAACTGATGGTCAATTGTTAAAACAAGTTCAGTGCCAACAGGAATCCCCAATTTGGGGTGTTTCCAATTTGGGGTGTGGAAAAGAAGGAAATTTTATACAATGTGAAGAGCTCAACTGTGATACAGCAAGGCTGTGCTAACAGCACAGCTATGAGCTCGATCTTGCTAACTCAATTATGAAACAGCACTGCTATGGAACAGGCTGCCGTGAGGCTCCTCTAACTCTGCCTTGCTATGCGGCCACACCTGTGCTTCAGCTCCTCCCCAGAAAAATCCCAGTCTACTGCAAAAAGAGAAAGCCCAGCACTCTGACCCAGAGGGGAGCTGACTTATATAGAGAGAAGTCCCCACCCCTGGTCCGATTGGTCTGTCCTCATGCAAACAAGGGCTCCAAATCGTCACAGTTTGATTGGGCCAAAAAGCACTATTCTGGTTGGTCGAAATAGAGCTGCTCTGATTGGTCACTAAAGATGACAATATGGATATAGCTGCTCAGTTCTGATTGGACAGAGAGTCTAGGTCCTATTGGTTGAAATACAATTCCAAGAACTCCTTTATAAGGGCGGGCTCCGGGGGCAAACTAGCGGTTCCTTCAGGGGAGAAGTGAGTGGATGCCGTGGAGAGGGGTACTGGGGACTACAAGGACCTGGGGATGCTCCAGCTCTTCAGCTGGGTTATGGGTACGTGTGTGTGCGCCCTTGTTCTTATTCTTTAAATTGTACGTGTAAGCTTTATACTTTCTGAATGTGCATTTCACAGCGGGGGGTCCCAGAATTTCTCTAATAGGAGGGCCATGGGAGTTAGAAGTGTGCCTTGTCTCTAAGCAGAGTGGGATTACAACCCATCCACATTTACTTGAGCATATGATTATCCGGATGGGCTCTGGGGAGTTTAAATGGAAAGGTATGGTTACTTTGTAGTAACCTCAAACAAGGAGTTAACATTTCTTTATCACCCTTGATTTATACCTCCCAGTTTGATCTCTTTTATTATTATTCAGCCTCATCTACTCTCCTCTCCCCACTCATGACCCAGAGGACAGAAAACTCGATTTTAATTTATACCCTTAATTTTAAAAAAATTATTTGTTAACCATATGCTAAGCACCTGCCAGGAATGGTAGAAGCTAACGGTGTATAGTTGCACCCACCAAGGGCAAGAACAATAGGTCGCTGTTGCTATTCTAAGGCTGGGAGAGCTCCCCTCCGGGGCAATCAGTACAGTGAGGGGCCATGGTGGGCCCAGGTGTGTCTGTCTTCATTGCCCAAGTACTTTGCATTAATGTTACCTAAACACGAATGAATATCATCACCCAACAGGTTCATTAAAAGGATACCTAACGTTTAAGCGTACGAAGCCAAGTATTTTACTTGCATCATTTCATTTCCACAATGATACTACCGGATTATGCATAAGACACCCAATTCACTGTTGTAAATCCTAAGGTCCAAATAAGTGGGTTTTCCAAAGTCACATACCTAACAAGCGATGGCATCAGGATTTAATCTCGTCACCCCAAAGAGGATTTCTTAACCACTACTTGAACTATCCCACTGAGCCTCAGAGAAAACATTCTTGGCCAGCTCTGCGGAACCGAAGCCCCTCTCGGGTCACGAATAAATGCTCCACTTCCCCTCCCGCCCCCCAACCTACCGGAAGCACCGCACTGAAGTTCCCAAAGAGAAGGCAGGCGGACCCCCGGACTCAAACCGCACAGCCTGCTGGCTTCCTCGGGCCCGGGGAGATGTCCCTGGGTAACGCTATAAAGCTTCATTCCAGCCAGAGTGGGTCTCCCCGGGACGGGAGGGCGGCCGCCACCCTCCCGATCCTGCCCCCCTGAGGGGGCGGGAGGCAGGCTGCCGGCGCGGCCGGGTCACTGCGGCCGGCCGGAGGCTCGGGGACGACGAGGAGCCCTAGGCGACTAGAGGGGACCCTCCTCTGCGCCCGCGAACCGAGCCCGGGAGTAATACCTGGTGACCCCCCGCAACTCCACCACCACCACTTTCTTCAAACTCTTTGAACTCACTGGAGAAAGGGGGGGGACAAGCAAAGACGAGAAAGTTCTCTCAACGCCGCCCCCCAAGTTCTATATTCTAGGAGGCAGGGAGGTAACCGAAGCAAAGCGACGAGGGAGGCGCCCCAGGAAGACCCCGTCCGGCCCTGGCTTTCCCAGAGGCCGCCGGAAAGAAGGCAGCGCGTCCCGCTGGTGTCTCGTCCCCAAGCAGACGGCGAGCTGGAGCGCGGGCGGCGCAGCGCCCCGTCCCCGACACCGTCCCCCCAGAGCAAAGGTCCCCGGGAGCGGGGGTCGCCCGCGCTCAGTCCGCACGGTACCTTTCTCTCCCGCGCTGGACATCCGCGCTGCAGGAGCCGATGCCGGGACAGCGCTGAGGGGCGGAG